TTTTTTTGTTTTTTTTTTTTTAGAAATAGCAGGTAACTCAAGCCACCCACATTACTACCTTCTTAAATGCCTTAAATTCTAGGGACTGTTTTCCGAACTTATAGATAAACTAGATTGTGAACACACTAAGCTTTTACTCTGGAGTCGATTTAAATGTCCACTGAATGGTTTAAGGTATCAGAGGAAATAATAATTAAATAATTTTTAATAATGATTAAAAATACCTGAATAGCAAGTTAGATGCACAGTAATCACTCAACACAGTTTCTTCATTGTAAGCCTTTTCCTGCAGTGTACAAGCATACACACCTTTGTAATTATCTCATTATAACCCAGAAGTAATTTTTAAACTCACTTTTCTTGCATCCCATTTATAGCATTCTAATTAGATATAAAAATAAAGTTTACTGAGAATTTTTTGATTACCAGAGCACCAAACACAATATGTAGTAAAAGATAACCTAATTCCTTATTTTCTGGGCATGTCCTGGACCAAGTTTTAAGTAACTGTGAAATAGAGGTTTGAGAGGTTAAAGACTCTTAAATTTGCTCGTATCTTAACAATAGATTGGGTTGATTGCTTTGTGAGTAAATCAAATCACATCACCGCTTTGTTGTGGGTTACGTGATCTTTATTCTTATCTAGAGATAAATTGGAAAATGTCCTGCCAGCCTTAGAAGCTTCTCTGGGTCTCTTTTTATTATTATGAGACAGTCAAAAATCCTGTCAATCGAGTGAGAGCATCTTCTCAAGAATTGCCCTGATTAAAGACTGAGAAAAGAATGCCAGTAGGAAATAGATTCAGAAATTTTTAGAATGAATATTTCTTTTTAAATCAGAATTTTTGCTAGAATATTGTGCAAAAAAAATAAGTTTAATTCAGTAGAGGATGCCAAAAGGATTTTTAATTGGTAATTGCCCTGATTAAAGACTGAGAAAAGAATGCGAGTAGGAAATAGATTCAGAAATTTTTAGAATGAATATTTCTATTTAAATCAGAATTTTTGCTAGAATATTGTGCAAAAAAAATAAGTTTAATTCAGTAGAGGATGCCAAAAGGATTTTTAATTGGTAATTCTCTGTGTCGTTTTTATTTGTCCTCATATAATGACAAAACATGTTGATGATTTTTCCTTCTTCGACAGGTTGCTAGTAACTTACACTGAAATCTGCAACACCGTTTTTCCAAGCCAAGAGAAGACTGAATGGCTTTTTGCAGCTAACTACTGTGTGTAGACAAGTTTTATATTATAATGTGCATTCTTATCACATACTATATAGTTAGGTTATAGAGTGATTTATCCCGCAGTTTCTTGAACATGGTATCTTCACATCTTGGACCTTGGTCCGTTGTGCTATTAATTATTAAACACTAAAACTTTGGTGGTTCCTGCATAAAAAATTGTCAAATTTTTTTAGTGTATTTTTGTGAAGTCATTTTTTTCCTACCATTCCTTTTGTAGTAGTTGCTGTTTGATAAAAGTTGCCATGTAATTTTTTTATTAAGCAGTAAATCCTTCGATTATAGTTAGACCTGGTGAAGTAAGACATTTGTAGAGTTTAGGGTTCTTTGATTCTCAGCACAAAGTGACTGTTTAGCTAACACCAGATAGTGTGTTGGCAATACTTTACACATGGCTAAAAACATTTAAGAATTGTTTAATTCAGAAATATCTGTTACTACTCTGTTGCCAAAACTCAGAATTGAACTTTTGACTTACATCTGAGTTCCTGAGATCAGATGCAAAAGTCAATGAAGAGTAACCACTGCCACTTTCCTGTGTTAGAACTTATTTAAAATACAGAAAATAACAGACTAGCCTGATGTAATGAGACGTTCATTAGAGTTTTGCATGACATTTTAATACTTCAGTAGGACCCTGCATTATCCATCCACAGTGGTTATCATAAAAAATCTGGCAGGATTTTAAAACTCAGTTACTCCATCTTTGAGCAAGAAAGACAGAGAAAAGGAAAAGAGACCATGTTAAGCTCGTGCCAGTTGCTTGGCTAGAAAATGATAAATGACTTATATAATAGGCTCAAATTTTTAAGAAGTACTATTTTACTCAAACTATTTCTTACCTAAATTCTTGCAGAGTAACAGTTTTGTTATTAATTATAGAAGGCAGGGATAATAACTCCTGCCACTCAAAAAGGCAGTGTGCAGTGTGCCAAGCCCAGAGGCCAGTATTGATCTGGAAGGCAGTCCATGTGATTGTCACCACAAAGTGGTTTTATACAACAAAAACCTGAAAAATTGTAAAGGTTGAGGAACGGTATGGTCCTTCCTAAAGGGAAACTCTTAATGAAAACAGTATGGGTTTTTTTTTAAGTTTCCCATATCACCAGTCGTGATTGTTTGTATTGCAAATATATAATATTAAGAAATAATTCCTATTTATGAATTATATGAGGAACACAAAGGAGTAAAATTCTTCTATAATAAAATGAACTCAGCACTGTTATTACCCAGCTACAGAGCCTCCTTATATTGGTCCAGTTGGTTGTGCCGCAGGATTTAGCCCCTGAATGTCCCACTCAAACTGGCTGTGACCAGACTAGCTGAAACCTGAGGAGAGCAGGATGTATCCGTGCCTCGCAAATGGCAAGTGGAAGTGACGTGGCTGGTTGCTGTTGTAGGAGAGTCAGGACTTGGGCAGGATTGGCCACCTTATGTGATAGATTTCCAAGGCAGGCTCCCTGGCCGAAAATATCTGCTGTGAATAAAGGTGCCTGAAATCCTGCTACTGAAGCTTTGTGTCAAAAATTTGTTTGGTTTTCCAGGTTTTCACATTAAAGTGCACATGCCACGTTAGAGTATCTACTGAAACCTCTGGAAGGATTAAATACAAGGAGCCAAAGGCAAGCAGGAAAGGGGGGGGGGGTGCGGGGGGAGGCTGTGTGCTAGAAGGAACAGCTGAGGAACAGACTGACTAAAGGAGCGTTTGCCCAAGTTTGTTCCCCACAACACTGGTCCCTGGAGAAGCTCCAGGAAAGAAGGGTTTATGGTTACTTGGGTTTAGAAAAGTTGCCTCAATTCACATTGCAAATGAGCATGTTAAAGACTCTGAAAGTCTAGAGCAGGGAAAATCAGATTCAGCCTTCTCAGCTGCACATTTCCAAGTTACTCAACCAAGGATCTTTGTACTGAATACCTAATTAGCATCTCACTGAACCAGGGTAAAATAGACCTTAGGAGATGAGTTAAACTAACCCAACAAACAGCTTTGGGTTCCATTTGTAAACATGTATTTGTCAAGTACCCAACCCCTTCCCCAGGCTTACAAGCAAAGCCTCAGCCTCGTATAAAATAGGTTTTATATCCCTGGTGAGACCTTCACATTTGTGGGAAAAGATGGTTTCCAACTCTACACCTGTGTGGATGAGGGCACCCTGAGCACACAGGTGACCAGACACTCCACCGCCGCCTCCGAGCCAGTCTCGGCCTTTCTGGCACTACCTGGGCTGGAGAAACAGCTGCTTTCCCCCCAGCCCAGGATGACGGACACCCTCCTTTCCCCGTAGCCTCTGCTCAAGGAAACCCATTTCCTGGCAGCTTTCCCTCGGCCTAGAAACAGCATGCGTCTGTATGGCCCTTCCCTAGTTCTGGGCATACTCTTTGTGCAGGAAAATCTTTCTACCTCTTTTATTCTCCAGCTCGTCTTTGTTCGTTAATAGGCTAATGAAGATTCTATTGAGGGCTGGTAGGTACAAATGAGCCCGGAGGCTCTTGCACCGGGAAACGGCCTTCCCTGCGAGTGCGCGAAGCCCCAAGCACGGGACCGTCCGCTTCCTCATTTGGCCGCTAGGTAATCCTGCTTCCCTTTGAGCCACAGGATTTTAAAGTATTTTAATCTTATTTTCTTATCAATTTTGTTTTTCTTTTGTTTCATTGCTAGTGAGGGAAATTAAAAATATTTTACCCCAAAATACGGCATTTTGATGCACTGGGCTGACTGTAGAAGCCTCAAGGTCTCTCTGACCTTCAAGTTAGTTTCTTTATCTTCCTCAGATCCAGACCCACCTAGGAGAACAACTGTCCTTTTCTCCCGCTCTGTGTAAGTCCGGGGATGTGACCTCACCTGCACTCTGGGAAGGTGATGTCCCATCCCTCAGACGCATTCAGATTCCAGAGAGAGCTATTGACCCTTAGTCTCCGGGTCCACTCCCCCCCCCAGCAATCCTTCCCTGCCCTGAACGGACTCTTCCCTCCGCCCAGAACCCATTTTACCAGAAAGGCAAATAAGCTTCTACACCTTGTTGGGGAGTTGCATCTTCATTCTGAGGGTCCCCGTATGTACACTTTAAATAAATTTGTATTTTTTCTCTCCTATTAATCTGCCCCATGTCAGTGATTCATCAGCAAACCACAGGGGCAAGAGCCTGTGCTCCCTGCGTAAATAAGCACCACGGACATTTGACCTGTCAGGACAAATGCGGTTCAGGTAACTAAAGGTTAATTTGCCTCTGTGAGTCCTTGGAGCACTGTTGCTATGGGAACATAGAGTCCTCCAAACAGTCAATTAAAAATTAACGTTTTAAAATCCTGTTTGTGAGCTGAAGCCTTTTAAGCACACATTGTGTTCTTTTATTTTGTATTCTGTAGCTTATATATTTTAATTAGATTAAAACGGAGGAATTTGCACAATATGTTGTCATATCTAACCCTGAAAATTAGCGACAGTTAACGATCACTCATTCACTAGCACCTATTGAAAACTGTGAACTAAAATAAAATCTAGGGCCCCCAGGGGACTGAACGGACTCTCTCTTGGCCAGGGGGACCCAGGAACACCTTAAAGCCGAGTTTCTGGCCAAGAGGAGAAAGAAGATCAGACAGGCCTCATCATGCCCCCACTGGGAGCTACTCTTTGTAACAAGATACTAAACCATTAACAGGCCTAAGAGGATGCAAAACAAAGCTTAAACCACACCTGCAGACCACCTATTTACTTAACAGATTATTTGAGTTTTGGCAAATGTCGTGGTGGCTTGTCTCTGATTAACAGACATCCTTAACTTAAAACAAACATTCCAAGGCTTTAGACAAAGCTTCATTTCTTTAACCAATTACAAATCAAAGAATCTTTAGACCCACCTATAACCCATAACCACCCTCCCGAGATGTCCTGCCTTTTCGGGCCGAACCAGTGTGTGCCTTCCACGTATTGACTCATGACCCTACATGTAATTCCTGTCTCCATGAACGTATAAAACCAAACCATAACATGTGCTCCGGCCCATCACTCACACACTCTCTGCTCAGAATAATCCTTTTTATTTTACAGAGTTGGGGTTTTTTCCCCATTAACAAAGCATTTGTTATTTATTTGCACTGTTTGGCTCAATCCTCATGACAACACTGAGTCAGGTTTTTATATGATCAATCCCATTTTATTTTATAAGGACAGGTCCCATTCTGTCGCCCTGGCTGGAACTCTGAGCTCATGCTCTGGAGTAGCTAGGATTACAAGTGCCAGCCACCACACCCGGACAAGTTTCTTATTTTTTGTAGAGATGGGGTCTCACTGTGTTGCCCAGGCTGAGTTCAAACTCCTGGTGTCAGCCTCCCAAAGTGCTGGGATTACAGGCAGGAGCCACCAGGGGGCTCAGTCCCATTTTAAAGAGAAGGAACCCAGGCTGGGCGTCAGTCGCCTGACCTCGCACAGCTGGTAGATGATGACCCTGGAATCTGCCCACAGCTTTGCGGCCACCCAACGTCCTTCCATGGTTGTGCTCCCTCTGCCTCTTCCTGTGAACCGAAAGTTCCAGATCTTCTCTCCAGGCAATCTGGGCGCCATGAACCTCACTATCTTGGAGGATCTTGAAATTTAGTTTCAAAAGGTTGATTTCACATTTTCAATTAAACATGACCTAAGCTAAGTAATTAACACGGTTGATAGGAATTTTTTTCAGAATTTAAGGTATTCAGGGCTGGGAGAAAGTGTGTTTTGCTGGACTAGTGTCTTTTTTTTTCTCCTGATATGTTATTTGAGAACAACTGCGGGAACAAACTCAGTTCCTCAAATGTTTTCCTTGACCACAACCACAGGGAACATGAACCACACTGGTTTTCACGTTCGTTTTCCTTGCTAACACACCATCGAGCATCCCGTTCAAAAACTATCGCTCGAGATCCACCCTACAGAGGTGGGGGAAGCCACCTCCCTCGTCGACCTATTGGCTTATCATCCTATCAAGTCAGTTTAAAAAAAAGAAAAAACAATACAGAATTCTTAAAAATGTACTCAAGCAGCTGTGGACAGAAAAACCCAGACTCTGCAAAATCATTTAAAGAGGGTTATTCTGAGCTAAATGTGTGTGATGTCGGCCCAGGAAACAAGCTCTCAAGAGATCCTGGGAAAATGTGCCCAAGGCAGCCAGATTCCAGTCTGGTTTTGTGCATTCACGGAGACGGGAAGAATTACAGGTAAAACCATAAATCATTGGTATGCACTGGTTTAGCCCAAAAA